CCCTAACCAAGCTTTTGACAATATTCTGGACTGATTTGCTTTCCTGTATGTATAATAGTTAAAGTTGGTTTTCAGGTTAGGGGTCTTCTAAATAGTGTAACACACTATATACACATACTGCTATAGAGTTCCTTCTTCTGTCAGTTCTTTCTACTTTGACTTAAGCACCATAAGAGACTACTAAAAGGAAGGGACTGAGCAGGTAAATAGAAATCAACCAGCACTGAAGGTTTCATTTGCCAGTGCTCCCTTAATGAAATATAACCTTTACTTTTTTATGAAGCATATAATATTGACCAAATACATAAATTTCTTGGCTGGTGTTTTGGCAAAATGTATTTTTCAGGCATTTGACATTCGGTGGAATGGAAAACCATCTCTAAGAGAGCAAATTACGTTCAAGAAGAAGAAAAATCCTGATACTTCAGAACCTGTCAGAGTATAGGCGACTGGTAGGGTGGTCGCGGGGGTGGGGCGGCACCGCCAGTTTCTATGGGCGGCTGCCGCCACCCCTCTCCCCAGCTCCTGGCTTCTGCAAGCTGTCACCACTCACCACCCTGCTGCCGCCCACAAACTGTGCCCCCCCAAGTCTCAGAATCCTGGTTCCAGAAAATTTTGATCTTTTTTGATATCTAGTTTATTGAAGTCATTAGATTTTAAAAAAAGCAAAGGAGAGAATATTTCTGATCTCACACTCGGAATCTAATGTAAAGGGATCAAAAACTGAGCTTCAACTCTGTATGTATATGATCAATATGGCAAGTTCGTGTTCCACAGAATCTAATTAAAAAATAAAAATAAAATTGAAAAAATTTCTTATCTCTCATGACAGCATAACCTGCCACAGATTCTAAGTGCAGAAAATGAAGCAATGATTCAGCAAGGTGTGACACCCTCCTGCCCCCAACACACAGAGAATGCAGACAGATGTAACAATTGAAATGCTTCTAAGTGAAACACACTTAGAAATGTTTCAAAAATAAATAGTTTCAGCCAGGGGTCATATGTACCACCTCTGTGAAGTTTTCCAGTCTGCAATGTTTTTAAATGTTGCAGCTTCCAATTGCATTAGCCTCCCTTGCCACCATACACACTTTCACAGGGAGAGAAGAGA